TTCCAGTCAAAAGGGTTTCCGGTTATCCACATTCAACATATAAAACACAGTAGCATTAAGCTACTTTATGCTGGTATTCTGTGAGACCTTAATTGTGACACTTCTGGACAGCGAATCGGGATGGGAAAACAAACGGGCATTTGTTTTGTCTTACTTTATGAAATACTTATGGCAATAATAATAAAAGCTATTTGTTATTTGTAAGAATAATAGAGGTTTTACACAGCTATTAATTTAAAGCAAACGTACAAACATAATTACATGTATATTTAAGGCACGTTAATGTAGTGACATACATATTATAAAAGATGCAACATATTTAGAGAAAACTCCATGAAGTACTCTTGGCACTTAGCGAAAGCATTTTATAAATTAGTACAGTTATAATACTGTAAATACACAAGTGCGGACATTTTCATCCCATCTTATATTGTTTCGAATACGATTGTTACGAATATACCGAAAAGAATAAAAGGAAATGTCGGAGCAACATTTATAAAAGGTCGGTTGTGCGGGTTCAATCGGGAAAAGACCACGCTCGCATAGAATATCAGCGTAAAATTGCAGTCTAATGCTGCTGTGGGTATGTGGTTGCCCAATTTTTACTGGTAATGTTGCCTACATGGCTAGCCCTAAGAAGCACACCGCAACGCCAATTTGGTTTCCAATCGAGGATTAATGTACATCTATGGACCATAACAATCACTTCATGTCAGGTAGACAAACTGTGTGCTCGTTTGTAACTCTAACTTCTATTAAAAAAAAGTTATAAATCCTAATAACGTGTAATCCTTAGTCCAGACTTATAAAGCAGCAATTCTTTATTCTCAAAAACGTAAAGCTGTATAGTAATACAAACTCTCATGTTTTAAAAGGGGTATGTATGTAAGAGTTGTATGTTAGGTACATTGAGGTAGCATGGAGCGGTAAAAGTTCTGTATATAGAGTAATATTGTCAATCTAACGATCCATTCTCTTTTCTATAGAATAACTATATATAATAACAAAAAACTATAAATAAAATAGGGTGACAAACGAGCACACGGTAAATTTGATGGTAAGTAAAAGCTGTAGCCCATAGAATCTACAACTATCCTCAATTAAGAATCAAAATGCAGATACGTTGTCACCCCTAAGGACTACGATGGAATTACTCGTATTCAGTATACGAGGGCGGCACTGAAAATTTCGGGAATCAAGGAAGTGACACAACATTACTATTTAAAAATGTATTTATTGCTTTTCGAAGTATTCTCCGCGAGACACATTTTTCCATACGATTGAACCAATCATTGAAGCAACCAACGAATGGAAATTCGGAAGTTGGGTTCTCCAAAATGGCCGTTTTGTAGGCGTCCACAGCTTCTTCAGGTAATGAAAATCTCTGTCCACGCAATTTATTCTTTATTTTAGGGAAAGTATAGAAATCATTATGGCTAGGTCGGGGCTGTACGGCGGATGGTCTAATAATTCTATGTTTTCTTGCTCTAAAAACTCTTTTGTTCTGTGTGCGGTGTGAGAACTCGCATTGTCGTGATGGAGGATGATGCGGCGGTTGCAGTTCGACATCACCTTCTAACCCCCATACTACCATCTTTACGGAGTTCAGAAACGACCTGTGGCAAACAAATGCTAGCATACCATTCTGCATTAACCGTTCTTTGTCCCTCAAGAGGAATAATCGTAACATGGCCGGTTTTGGAGACAAACGTGGCCACCATTTTTTTTTGCAACACTCCGTGAACGAACAATTTTTGTTGGCTTTAACTCATTTTCGAACACCCAAACTCGTGACTGGTTTTTTATTTCGGGTTCATACGCGTATATCTATGATTCGTCACCTGATACGATGTTGTATACAGCATTTGAGGATCCTGCGTGGAATCTTTCGAGAATTCTGACGCACCAAGTAACGCGAGCCACTTTTGCTCTTCACAGAGCGAATGCGGTATCCATCGGGAAAACAACTTTTTACACCTAATTGTTCATGCAAGATTATTTGCTATATATATATATATATATATATATATATATATATATATATATATATATATATATATATATATATATATATATATATACTCATGCCAATGTCTAAAGTTGTCTGAATTTCGCGGTATGTCACATGTCGATCTTCATCAATCAGCTTACGCACAGCATCAACGTTTTCTTGGGTGACTGCAGTTTTTGGACGACCTTGACGGAGATCATCACTGAGCTTGACACGTCCACGTTGAAATTCAGCAAACCAGCGATAAATTGTGGTTTGGATGAGGCTTCATCACCAAACGCAGAAATCATCCGGTCAACACGCTGTTTTTGTGTTAAACCACTTCGAAAGTCATAATAAATCATCGCTCTTGAATTTTCTCGAGTGAATTCCATTTTCTCAACGACTAAACAAGTTTGACAAAACCTTGTGACAAGACCGAGAATCTTTTTTTAAATAAATAAATGGTATTCGATTTTTAAAACCAAGGAGTTTTCAATTTAAAAATTTTTAATATGACAGGAACAGTGGAAATATTCCTTTCCCGATACTTTTAGTGCATCCTAGGTAAAGAGCTCCGGTTCTCTACACTCACTAAATGAAATACAGCATTGAGCAGTACTGAGCTGTTATTTTACGATGGTGTTCGTTAAAATTGTACAATAACAAAGATGCCCGTCAATGCAATTAACACGGCAGTTCCGCAACACACTGGTAACAATGGTTGGAACCTCTCCAAAGGAGATCAACGAAACGAATAAATAAATTCTCCGAAATCATCACTTCTTGAGCACATCTACTAGTACGTGAGCTCAAGTCAGCTGCTCTTTTTTAAAAGAATAAATTTAGAGATCCAAATGAATGGAAAGTCTTGAACTGCAAAGTTTTTTTGTGAACGTTCAGAGTATTCAGTAAAACTGCAACAAAGAAATCTTTTGTCATTGTTCTAACATATTCATTCCTAAATGGCTGCCATTAAAGTTTAAAATTGTAATTACAAAGAAAATATATTTTTACTCTTTTTAATTACGTGGTACAGACATAACTGCAGCTATATTATAGTTGTATCACGAATGGGTAGGTTCTACCGGGGAACTGAACTGTGTATTCGTATGGTGAGTTTAGAGAACCGGATACCCATTTTACAGGATATGAGTCATTCCATCCTAATCCTTAGGGGTGACAGCGCATTTGCATTTTGATTCGTATTTTGGGATTGATGTAGATGTCTATGGGCCACAGCATCCACTTACCATCACGTGGACTGTGTGCTCGTTTGATATCCTTATTCTATAACAAACAAATTCATATTAAGTACTTTGCGATTCGTCTCCAAATTGATTGCCTACATATACTCATAAAAAAACTACACACGTGTCCAAACATCCGAGATCGTGCATTGTTCACGGTCATTGCAAGCGTTCGAGTACCAATTTGCTATCAACAACGCTCGCAATTATTATATAATTAGCACGTAAATGTTCGTCGCAGATTTAGCCAGCGTTGTTCGGACACATGATACAACAGCGCGCTTAGCCCAAATGTTTTCCCAATCCGCGAACCGTACCGCGATATATATACTGCATCAACTGGCTGCTAAATTTACCCGGCCGTTTTACACGGACACATGTAAATATAGTGGTAGTATGCAGATGGACGGACCGAGGCGTGTTTTTTATATAAAATTTATTTATAACACGCGCAGGAACATTTTATAAATAACCGGGTTTAAAAACGAGATGCGAGTTGCGTGCGAGACGCCGTGGGAAAAGTTCACGGGTGGCCCGCTCGACTTGACCGACAAGGTTTTCACCAATGATTAACAATGTTTCTTGTATAAAACTCCACTATCGCTGTGATTTGTTCACATGCAAGAACAAAAATTCGTATTCCGAAATGCACGTAATATACGTATTACGTGGATTGCGGAATACGAATTTTTGTTGAAAAATAAATGGCCATATAGTACGCTATGGCCATTTATTTTTCAAGTTACATGTTACATAGATTAAATTGAAATGAGGTAGGAATTTTTTAAGGAACAAGCATAGGAAATAGCATTACACCGCAACTCCACTATGAACTGAGTACAATGTTAAATACCAGAGATATTATACGCCTTAAAAAAAAATTCACGTCTTTCAATACAGCACATGCTAAATGAGGCATAATGAAAAGGAAGAATATGGCATTTTGTAATCTAATAAAATTGTACTCGTTACATTGTCGTATATTTAAAGAACGATCTGAAATGTGGCGGAATTGTAAAGGTATGCATGGGTTTGAAATTTAAGAGTGAAATATGCAGTCTGTTGCCGAGAGTAGTATGTTTTTTTTTCTGTATAGATCAAGGGTGACAAACGATCACACAGTCCAACTGATGGTAAGTGGATGTTGTGGCTTGTGGCCCATAGACATCTACGTCTATCCTTGATTAAGAATCAAAATGCAGATGCGTTGTCACCCCTGAGGACTAAAATATAATGTCTCGTTTCCAGTAAAAGGGGTCTGTGTATGGTCTAGTACAGTGGTTGCATACCTGCATGATCTGCTGATGGAAGCTAGTGTCTGGCGGCACACGCGGCGCGTGCGGCGGCGAGGGCGCGTGCTGCGGAGAGCTCGCCGGCCCCGGCCCGCCCGTCGCGCTCTCGTGCGCCATCTCTGTGTATGGTCTAGTACAGTGGTTGCATACCTGCATGATCTGCTGATGGAAGCTAGTGTCTGGCGGCACACGCGGCGCGTGCGGCGGCGAGGGCGCGAACTGCGGAGAGCTCGCTGGCCCCGGCCCGCCCGTCACGCTCTCGTGCGCCATCTCTGTGTATGGTCTAGTACAGTGGTTGCATACCTGCATGATCTGCTAATGGAAGCTAGTGTCTGGCGGGACACGCGGCGCGTGCGGCGGCGAGGGCGCGAGCTGCGGAGAGCTCGCCGGCCCCGGCCCGCCCGTCGCGCTCTCGTGCGCCATCTCTGTGTATGGTCTAGTACAGTGGTTGCATACCTGCATGATCTGCTAATGGAAGCTAGTGTCTGGCGGCACACGCGGCGCGTGCGGCGGCGAGGGCGCGTGCTGCGGAGAGCTCGCCGGCCCCAGCCCGCCCGTCGCGCTCTCGTGCGCCATCTCTGTGTATGGTCTAGTACAGTGGTTGCATACCTGCATGATCTGCTGATGGAAGCTAGTGTCTGGCGGCACACGCGGCGCGTGCGGCGGCGAGGGCGCGTGCTGCGGAGAGCTTGCCGGCCCCGGCCCGCCCGTCGCGCTCTCGTGCGCCATCTCTGCAACGACAAATGATGCTGTTAACGAATTTCAATAGACATTTTTGCGTTTTAAATTTAAAAAAAATCGGTTTCTGGAGTGTGTAAATACACAAAACAATGCCTCAGTGGGTTGATCTTTAATTTCTAGTTCAGCAATCAGAGAGACATATTCACTGTATAATTATCATATATACATAAACACTCACGTCTGTCACCCAGAGGGGTAGGCAGAGAATACAGACTTCCATTTGGCACGATCCTGACACACCTCTCTTGCCTCCTTCACATCCATACACCTACGCATACATGCTCGTCGGTTAAGGGTACTCCTAATTTGGCCCGTTTTCAATAAATCGCCAATTTGGTCGATAAATTTTCGCCTAGGACGTCCCTTTTCGACTCTGCCATTCACTTCTGCACCATAAATTTTCTTTGTCACTCTTTCCTCATTCATTCTTTCCACACGACCAAACCACCGAAGCATTCCTTTCTTAATCCTGGTCACAACATCATCTTGCAAACCACACTCTTCTCTTATTACACAATTTCTTACCCTGTCATTTAGATTCAGCCCTAACACACTCCTTAACGACCGCATTTCTACTGCGTTTATTCTACTCTCGTGCTTCTTCTGCCATACCCAACTTTCACTACCATACGTTAAAGTAGGGACCAACACAGCATTGTGAATTGCCATACGTGCCTTTTTCGACACATTTTGACTCTTCACAATAGAGTGCAAGGCCCCATTTACTCTATTTCCCGCATTCACTCGTCGTTCTATATCCTTATCATATCTCCCATCCCTGCTAAATACGCAGCCCAAATATACAAACTCATCTACTTGCTCGATCAACTCCCCTTCTATTCTTATTTCACAAATAGTTTTACTTTCTTCTCTTTCAAAAACCATAACCTTCGTCTTACTTGCGTTCACTTTAATACCCCTTTCTTTTAATGATCCGTTCATTAATGTAACCATCATTTGCAACTCGGCCGCCGACGACGCAAGAATAACTTGATCATCGGCGTACAAAAGGCATTTGACGGTTAACTCACCCATTCTTAATCCGCATTCTTCAACTTTCAAATTTTGCAAACAACTGTCCATAAATAGGTTGAACAGCCACGGGGAAGCCACACAGCCCTGTCCGACACCTTTATGGATGTCAAACCAGTCCGAGTAGACCCCGTTGATCCTAACACAAGCACTAGAGTCCCTATAAAGAGACTCCAATGCCTGTATCAAGCCAGCGCTCAACCCAAATGAGTTCAGTGTTTGCCATAGCAAATCCCTATCCACTCTGTCATAGGCCTTTTCCAAGTCCATGAACGCACAAAAAACCTTTTGGTTTTTGGCCAGAAACTTCTCCGCGATCATGCGCATGGAAAAGACTTGATCTGTACATCCCATTCCCTTTCTAAATCCCGCTTGCACATCCCAAATTTTTCCATCAGTTTCTTTCATGACCCTTTCAATCAGTACCTTAGCATACAGTTTTCCCACAATGCTAAGAAGGCTGATGCCACGGTAGTTTTTACAGTCCTGCTGCGACCCTCTTCCCTTATATACTGGGACTATCACGGCTTTACACCAGTCTACCGGTACCCGCTTCAGTTCCCAGCATAAATTAAACAAGGTGTGCAGCAGGCCTGCCACCACTTCCTCTCCAGCCCTTAGCATTTCGAGTGAAACTCTATCATATCCGGCAGCCTTACCTGCTTTCATGCTTTTCATTGCTTTCATTATTTCATCTATACTTATCTCGCTACCTTTTTCCTCTTCTTTCGGTGTTTCTACTTCACTTAGTACCCACGTTGTCTCCTCACTCATAAACACGCTTTCAAAATATTCCTTCCATCTCTTTAAACTCAAAACTTCATCATTCAGAATATAGCCATTTTCGTCTCTTATAGCATTCATCATAGGCTGTTTTGAATGTCCCCTGGCAGTTCTTACCAGTTTCCAGAACATTTTAATATTTGCCTGGAAGTTATCCGATATTCTTCTATCATTCTTATCCGTTCTTTCTTGCTTTTTTCTTTCAACTACTTCTTTTACTCTCTTATTAAGATGTCTAAAGACTGCCTTTTTTCTTTCAATATCACCATTCGTACCACTAGAATTAGCAGCCCTTGTTGCTAGTAAATCTAGCCATGCTCTCTTCTTTGCTTCAACTTCCATACGTATCTCATCATCCCACCATAACGTATTATTTTTCCTTTCATTCTTTCTCTTACTAACACCACATACTTCGGTAGCTGCATCCACTAAACCTTTCTTTACATTTTGCCACATATTCTCCAAGTCTAACTCCTTCAATTCATCCGTCATTCATTCATCCAAATTCATCCAAACCACTTATATTTTCTTTCAGTCTACATTTGAACTTGTTTTTATCACTTTCATCTTATAACCTTTCTGTTCTAATACGCTGTAACGCAGTGGTAGACACAGACGATCGATGGCGCCAACGCCTGAATAGAGCGTCAATAAAGATTATTATTATTATTACTGAATTTTTTAACTTTCCTACTTTTAGGAATATCCGCAGTTCGGTTTATCCATTTCTAATCTAATTAATTTAAATGTAACTAATATTTTAGATATATTAACTTTAAACTTTTCGAACAAATTTACTGTCGCCTCTGTCAAATATTTCACCTCTTTTCTATGTGACACCGTCATCAATGAGCGGTTACGTAGCTTCATGAGATGACAATTGCGTAGCTTAACTCTAATCCAACAGCCTAGTTCACGTAATGATTTCTTATAGTTACACGAATACTACACATGTAGTAAAACAAAGTTTACGGACTTTTTTATCGCGTCGAATGTAAACTTTTTGGATTCCCGGCGTTTCTGGCATTTACAGCCCCCATAGTCACGGCGGGACTGATGTGTTTGACGTCCCAATGTCATTCTTAACGATGGCAGGCGACCTACGCAGAACGATTTTACAGTATCTAGAACTCTTGCAGTAATATGCTTGAGTTTGGATTCAATTATGTCACCATGTTCAGGATCGTCACACCCATTATATCAGATTTAATAGTCCACAAATCTTCACAAAAGAACACCGATTCCTAATAAAGATGGTTCGTGAGGCTATTGAAATTAAAAAAATATCCTAATTTCAATAGAGAAGATGGCTGGGTGCCACCATCTGCTTGGAATCCCACAATTAATAAAATCAAAATCCAATTAATTTCTTTTAGAATAAGACTGACAAACGAGTTCAACTCAGTTCACCTGATGGTAAGAAGATACCCATAGACATCTACATCCAAAATCGATTGATGATTAAAATGAACATACATTGAACCTCTGGGGACTAAAAAGGAATTTTAGTCCCCAGAGGTTCCAGTTAGTCACACCATAATTCACCATACGAAACGCAGCAGTATTATTCTACTGTTTCAAGTTGGTACGTATTTTGTGAGACATACCCCGATCGAGCCGACCCATTCGTCCTGCAGCTATTTATAACTATCATAGCTGCAGCGTGGCTCTACGATGCGTCAAAGGAGGGTCTAGAATGACAGCCTCGTATGGGTAAGAGAAGCTGCACGGGACTCTAAGCCGTATTGTGTGACTTCCTTGAGAGAGGACTATTCAGCAGAGGACTTGTTGAGGGTTGCAATGATGATAATGATGATATGAATAGGTATTTGTTACTTTACAGTGTGTACCTATTGTACACTACCCTATTTCTTTGGACGATTCAAGTATTTTTTTACATAAATATAAGTACAAATTGTATACACTGTTGGTTGAATCAAACATGTAAATAAAAAGTTATTAATATAGAATTAAATGAAAATATTCTGGTTCGCAATGGCTTTAAATAAAGTCTAGAGGCACCGAGCTGTTTCATATTATATAATTTTCTAAAAGCGGTGTAAGAAACCAATCAATTTGCTAACAATATAGAAAAATTGCTACATTATTTGATTATATCACAAACAATGTAAAATTGCAAATTTGTACTCAACACGCAGCCTGCCTTGCCTCTTACACCGAACGAACCACCGTCGAAGCCTCCCTAGACCACCCTTTTGAATGTGACCTACATCGACAGCCCGGAGGACGGTGCAGAGGGCGCGGGGGGATGCGATAAAGTTATTTTTAGGACAGACTATATATAGAAAGGCTCCGACAGCCCGGGACACAAGGGCGTCCTTCGTACTTCGTTTTAATCGTGTAGCCTTAAACGAGTTTGGTCGAAAACAGAATAATAAAGACCTTATATTTGATTCAAAGTAAGTTATTATTTAACTTATACTTTCTTTTCTTTTTCGCTTGGTGGTGAAAGAGTGAGAGACCTTTTAAATTTCTCCACACAAATAAATATAAAATCTAAGAACCGCTAAGAACTTAGCGGTCAGCCGCCGTAGAGTCTACATCACCTGAGGATGCCTCGTGTAGAGGCGAAACAAGTGTCGTTTTATCGTCGATGGTGTGTCTTTCCTAGTGTAGTGGTGTTGGGAGTAGTGGCGTTGGGAGTAGTGGTGTTGGGAGTAGTGGTACTGGGATTAGTGATGACGGCATTACTGCACACAATAGAGGGAGGGCAGGAGGTGCTCTTCAATCCAGGTAAGACACATCATTGTATTTAGTTAGCGGAAGGTTGCAAATTAATTAATATCTTTATTATAATGGATTTCCGCAAATTAGCGCCGGATTCTATCAATTAGGATTATAGTGCCCAAGTGTATGCGCAAGCACAGGTGCACTCTCTATTCACAGACTCTCATAATCCTATGGGACGGTAAACCGACACGACCGGAAAGAGATCAGGCGCAGGACCGACGGCTTTACGTGCTTTTCGAGGCACGGGGGTGAGACACCACCAACTTTCTGACTCCGGGCAACTACTGAGAATTTCTTGACAGAAAAACTCAATAATAAATTTTTTGGCAAGACCCGGGATTCAGAGGAAATAGTCAATCAAAAACAGAAAAAAAATGTAACGGGGGGAAAAAAAGGAAAAAAAACAAACAAAACAGAATAAA